GGGATGACAGCATTAAAACTCCGACTTTACTTTATCACATGCATTTTTAGACCACCCTAATATACATTTACTCCGGTCGAGCGCTAATTATACGACTGTTGGAAAACTTTCCATGCACAAGATTTTTAAGTAACCAAATTAATTCAACTCACAGCTGATTGTTTGGAAAACGAGACCGCTCCAGCAAAGGCACACACAGGTTCTTAGGATAGACTCCTTTACGTTCGAAATGAGCCGATTGTGCCCTTATATTTGCCAGATGTCTTAATATTTTCATAACATATGTATCAATCTCTTGTTGCTAAGAACTAGAACCACCCTAACGTCCATCCATATGTAAGCATATAAGTATATACAAGTGTGTACGTTTAGCTAGCGCTGTATTTTTCCGGCTTGTACCATTAAGATTTTTAATGTTTCTTGCTAGACTAGGCTCAATGTCCAATATTGCCAAAAATAGAAACCCGAGAATACTAAAAACATTTAAGAATAAATGGGAAATTTTCCTTCTAGTCGAGTATAATGTACATAGGTATAGAGAATTTTGTGAAATAATAACCAGTGTTACGTTTTCTACCAAAGAAAATTGCGAATGTACCAAAATCTTAACAGATGACTTTTAACCTAATAACATGATTGTGAGACCTCAAATGCCAAGGTTGCATAGAAAGTAATGAATGGTTCAAAATGAAACAGCTCCCTCATTTTTTGGAAGAAAATCTTTTTTCGAGTCTCACCTTCGATAATATATGTGAAATAGGTTTGTATTCGATTCGGGAACTACAACAAAACGGAACCTTCGTTATCCAATGTATTTATCTTTCGTCATGAATTCGAAATCCAGCCCATTTTCGAATTGAAATTTTAATGAGAGAGAGTGGCTGTCATTATATTTCATTCCAAGAATGAGCTGGATTCAGGTATGGAATTTCAAAATTTCAAAATGTGCCCAATGGTCTTTAAAAATAGTACCGCAAATAGTAAGAAATAGTATTTTTAAAATACATTGAGGTAATATAATATTTATTAATTAACCAAGTCATCGCAGTAAATTACTTTGATGAAGGATTCCTTAGACATATATACATTATTAATTCATAGCAAAATAACACAGTATTCTAATTTGGAAGGGGAAATACACCGAAATATAGCTATTCTGTCAAACCCATCTCGAATGTATTTCCAATATACTACGAACGTTGGAAAACTAAGGTTGGTTATGAGCTCGTTCCCAGTTCGAAATGCCTATCGGATATCGAAGGTCATTTTTGAACATTCGCCAAAAAGTTTATAGAGCTCTCATTTTGTTGACTGTGTGTGAGAGTACAGTACATATGCATATGTGGCAGCAGAAGCTAATTTCAATCACTAGACGTTTATAGCTATCATATATGAGTAGTCCACTTGAAAACAGCGTTATGTGATTTTATAATAGAAAGCCATAAATTAAAAAAAAAACGACTACGACAACAAACATCTTTTAAATTGAATTTTTATTTTTACCTGAAAATTTTAATAAACAAGAGCCTAATAACATTATAACATAACATAAAATGACATAACATAACATTAACAGTCTATACGACCTAAAGCAGACTTCTAAGTTCATCAGAAGAGGGAGACTTTTGAGAGCTTATAAATAAGTATGATAGCGACTTTTGCAAGAGTAGTTATCATTTGATGCTATTTTTTCAGAATATAGAAAGATTTTGCACTGTGTTGTTAGTGGACATGAAACTACTTTAAATACTGGTACGTTACCCACCAAAAACTAAAAATCGAAAAAATTTTACAGAGCGCAGTTTGCAAGTGGATTACTCATATATATAGCTATCATGAATTAATGCTATTAAAGGTCTTAAGATATAATTCTGACGACTGACGACTGACGACTGACCGATAAGCGCAGATAAGTCGATAGTCTTCTTTGTGATTTGCACTTCTCTATCAACCTCAAAACGATAAGAACCAGTTTTATATGGTCAATTGGCTGATCGGCCTTCCTAGTATATTACTCGCCTGCTTTGAGCGCTATCTTTGAAAGCTGTGAAGTGAGAATTTGTTTTTTTAAGCAGGGGGAAGTTCTAATATGTCTCCAGATGGTTTGATAGCAACCGATATCTCCTTTCGTCCTATTGAAGACTTTTTGCACCTGCGTGCTTAGGGGCCATAAACCCTACCTCACCTTTGTTAAAGTCATACAAGAGCCCTTTGTGCCTTTTTGAATATCGAGGGGGCTTTTAATGATGTCCTACCAAAGCTGAATGTAAAGCTGAATTCGTCGGAGTATACAAGCACTGCTTCTCCAAGGGTTCAGCTTAGGGAGTGGGTTCTGTCAAGAACAAGCTGAGGTGGCCACCCTCGTTTAGGGCGTGAATGCCATATTTTCATAGCCAAGCGGAAACCAAAGCATCCTACCAGGTATGCCACTAATCGCAGATAGGTAGGATTTAAGTCAGCTCAGTGAGCTCTGTGTAAAAAGCTCGGTTTTCCAGGTCGTTCTGGCCTGACTTCTTAAGCTATTTAGGCTGCAGATCCCAATTCTGCCTGATCGAACGACTCGGCTCGTACTCTATCTAAATCACTCAGTAACTGTCTGGTAAAGACCCACCGTTTCTGTTCTCCCATCGTTTCTATTCGTTAACTCCCTTTAAACAAAAACAAAAGAAAAGTAATGCTAATGCTAAGTACGTAAGCATGCAGAGATGTATGTAAGTATGTACGAAAGAGTTAAGAAAGCGAGTGTGCAGTAAGATACAGGCCTGTTTATGTACATACATATGTATGGTCAAAGAATACTGAATACTGAAGATAAGTGCGTGAAATGGAAAATCTTGATATATTGCGTTTATTTTATTATTATTTATATATTCCGAGGTTTCCACATGCAATTCTCGAATATTCCCTCATGTGAGTAAAGTAATTACCAAATCAACTGCGCAAAGACGTGTGCATTTGTATGTTTGAGTGTAAATACAGCCGGTTTCACTTGAATAGATACACATCTTTCCGAAAGCAGAAAGTTTTCAAAAAATAGAAATTTTCGCAGGTACACGACTTTCCATTAGGAATTCAGTTGAAAGAATAACGAATATTGTTGACTGACACAAGGCATAAGGAAAAGTTCAGGGGGCACAATAGTAGATTAGTATAGTATTGTTGTTAGAATAGTATTGTTATCGTAATGAAGATAATTAGTAATTCTAAACATGTGCTCTCAAAAAATTTCACAAAGCGAAACTAAAAAATGTTTTTAAAAATTAAATAAATACAAATAAAAGATTTTTTCTTAATTATCAACAATAAAAAAAGGTCCGCCGGCCAGAACCGCCCTATAAATTTAATGAAAAATGTTTGGAGTTGCTTGATTTGCCAAACTTACGTGTCGGGCAATCGATTTGGATACCAGGCCACGGACGAGTGGAGAGAATTGAGGTAGCGGACGGATTAGTGTGGAAAGCAGCAACCTCAGCTCGCAAGGCTCCGAACTATTCCTTGCAGTAGGTCCACGCACGATTGGGGGAGAACTCAGAAAACAAATAATAAGAGAGAATAATTGACAAAAAACCATTGCACGACGGCAAGCCAAAAGAAACTGATAATTGTCATGGGCAACCTCACGGAACACTGCTGATTGAGAGCATATCTGCACAGGCTAGAAATCTATTCGCATGACTTCCGTCGCTTGTGCGACTCGGCTAAAGAGACACCATTGCATCTGCTTGTTGAGTGTTAGACAGTGGTGAGAATACAGAAACAAGTCTGCGCGCAATGTGGCCAAGGGCTATGCACATACACTCCCTGCCAGCAAAAGTTCTTCTAGACTCTCTGGGGATTGTAAGACTGAATGAGGTATTGTGATGAGTGGAGGGTATAATATTAAGGTCGCTGGGCACACCTCTTTTTAATTATCTACGCTTTATTATTTAACTACATTAAATGGTTAAATTAAAGTGACTTAAAGGTCTAAAGGCCGGTCCACATAGAACTTTCGTGTTGGCTTTGGCGTTGGCGTTGGTTTGACAGAACGCACGTTAAAAGTATGCTTGCTACAATGAGCGCTTAGCAGCGAATGCTTGGGCCACTACATTAACATACTAACGACAGATAAATTAATATTTCATATCAATAATTGCATTAAAAACGATATTTCTTGCCCGCACTTGATTAAAAAGGAAAATATTTCACATAATTTTATTTATTTGCAACAGCTGACGAGCGACGCACGCGAAAAGATGAGAGTTGGCCATCTTTTTGCTTTGTGTTGGCGTGAGCGTTGTCGAATTTTGGCTATGTGGACGGCTGCATTTGAATTCATGTATTCATAGTCAGCTGTTGAAGCGACGCCAACGCCAACGCAACGCCAAAGTTCTATGTGGACGGGCCTTAAGTAAATCTTTTGATTCACCAAAATGCCGCTGAAAGAAGAGAAACTCAAGAATAGAATTTCCTTATTTTCACCACATTCCTGCAGGACTGATCAGTCTTTAAAATGATACTAAAACGAAGCTGCGCACAAGTAAAGATATTAACTTGAAACTTGAGGAACATTATGTATCTATTCAAGTGAAACGGGGTGTATGTACGAGCTAGTACATATATATATCTGCATGTAAATTTATTTGCACTAACTCTCATTTGTGCATGCGTCTCTGCAATAACTTCCATAAATTGCCATCTAACTTTACGCACAAGAATCAAGATCAGTTACAGGCATAACAGTACCAGCTATCAATGCGATTTCAACAACAAACCTGCATGTGGCTACATATGCATATGCCTATGTATGTTTGTAGTCATTATCAACCATGAATAGTTGGTCTTGCGCACCACTCGACTCCACACTCCTCACCCCAGACCCCACCAACGCCGCCCCAGACCACACCACACCACTCCAACACACATCACATAGAAATGGAAGCCGAAGAACCAAACCGATCACCATAGAGCGCCGACTCTGTATTATCAAAAACTTTATGTCTTCTTAGTGGCTGTCTTAAAACGCTTGCGAGCTGTTGGCGGCCTTACGATCACTTACGATCGATCGGTTCGACTTGGTTTCGCAGCAGAAGATTGAGCGCGTCACGGTACACGTACATAAATATCAATAAAATTGCCGCAACTCCGCTAATTCAATTCAGTATTGCGGCGTTTTTCAAACAAGACAGATGAGCTTAAAAGAATTGGAACCAAAGTCGACAACGGATGAATACCTAAGTCAAAGCGCATCGGCAGTGAATGGACGAAGCGAAAGTTGAATAAAAAAAAGATTTACATATAAACAAAATATATACATATTTTCATACATAAGAAGGAATAAAAAACAGCACTTAAAGAACGGAAAGTGAATCGCCGACTTAATGATAGAAGATTTCATAATTTATATAACTAGTATAGCAAAAATCTGCGCATTAAGGAAAATAGACTTTTGCTAAAACAAAAGTGAAGACTGTATACTTTTCCGATTGCAATTCTTGAAAATAATTAAATTTTAATCGCTTAATAGTAATGTGTTAAAAAAAGGAAAAAAATGTGCTGTGAATAATTAATTCGAAAACTATTTTTGGGCAGTGATCGTTGCATTGCTAAAATGTGAATAACTGTTAAAATAACAACATTAACATAAAAACTAATAAGGTTGTGAGAAGACATTAAAATAAGCAAATAAAAAAGTAATAATTGCTGGTGAAATATTTACTAAAGAACAACAAAAAAAAACAACAAACTCAGAATGTACATATCAAACTCCACTGGTGGTCTAATGCTACAGACGATGCTCTATTTGGCAAACCAGACCAGTAGAGCTGCAGTGAATACCTTAGTCGATCTGCCGCCATCACAGAAGAGTGGTAAGTTTTTTTATTATTATGGATTATGCGACGCATACTTACATACATATCTACATATTTGCGGAATTTATAGCCTGCCATAAGCAAATGTACATAAAGATCTATAGGTACAAAGCTCAGATTTTTATCGGGTGTGGTTGTGATGAGTTTTAAGTCTGCGGCAGATCTCTTTTTTAACCGACTTCCAAAAAAGGAGGAGGTTATCAGTTCGTCGGAATATTTTCAATTTTTTTATATTTTTTTTTTATTATTATTTTATTTTATTTTTTGTTTTATGTATCTTACCGCATAACTTTGGACCACGTCAACCGATTTTTAATTAATTCTTTTTGCATCGGAAAGGTAGTGTCTCAGAGGTGGTCCCATACTAATCTGGTTAAGATCCGATCAGTGGATCATGAGATATATGAGCTATTTTTTTTTTATATGGGAATTGAAATCGCATTCCTTCAAGACGGAAAAATGTCTCGAAAATATCGAATATGAACTTCTAAAACTTTTGTGAAAGTCTTTTCGAACTCGTGTTTAGAAATTTTATAACAAATTACATTAGGGTGGACTTTCAAATATCAACATCTAAATTTTATATGGGGCACCACTTTATTTTTGTTGTTGTCTACAACAATTTTTTTATTTAAAAAGAAAATTTGGGTCGCTACCGAGAGTTTGAAAAAATTTAAATTTTTTTAAAACGCAAAAGTTCGACATAACTTTGACTTTGGCTAGCTATAACTCGATTAGTTTATGAATTTATATGAATAAGTTTAAATAATATGCAAAATTTACCAGATATCAATTGAAAATGTTTTTGAATTGTTTCTTGTTTGGCAGCAACCTCTAAAATTATTTATAAAATTTTAATCTTTCGTGGGTGTCTTTATTGTTTATCTAGAACAAAATAAAGAAGTTCCCCATACAAAATTTAGATGTTGATGTTCTTAAGGACAGAAGTGGCCTAACCGAAAAAAACTTTTTTGTACTTACCTACTTAAAATAGTCTCGAATGTGATTAATATTAAAATAAAAGTCGCGTATACCTTAATTTGAAGGTATGGAGCTACAAAGTGTAGTATCAAATAAAGTCTTTAACCGTTTGCTAAGTCTTCGGCCGAGCTTCATTCATATAAATACATACATAATTATTACTCGAAACAGTAACCAGAACAAACTTGCTTATACATGCAACCAAAAAACCTCAAGCAGTTCGGCTATTCTTGGGACGGCAGCGACAATCTCAATACCCTGTATTACCGACTTATGTATATTCTCCATCGCGATCGATAAGACATACAAATCGTTGGTGGGGTTTATTCGGAACAGTGATATGCCTTATCATTCAGTTTCCGCTTTCCTGACTACTGCAGTTTTTTCAAGCTGAACTGATGGCTATCTCAAAAACCGCATCACTGGTACGGTGTGATACTATTCCTAGTCATGATATCTACATTTGCACTGACAGTCAGGCGACTATTAAATCCCTGGGAAAAGTCTTGTTGACTTCAAAGTAGTTGCTCAATACCGCCGATTTCTTAACGAGATGACTGAGAAATTCAGCATACATATTGCCTGCGACATTTAGGGAAACTGCAAGACTGACGAGCTCCCGCGTCATGAAGCGACATGTAAATCTCTACTGAATGAAAAAATTTTTAGAAATTGTTAAGATGGCAATGGAACCGACCTGGCATATTACCAAAACACTCTGGCTAGCCATAGACGTTCAACGTTTTTAGTCTCTCCTTAATCTCAGGAGGCAGGAAATTCGCACAGCGAATGGAGGAGCTTTCTCAACTGAACTAAGCGACATATTTTCGTCTTGCTGACCACTGTGCTGTATACATCATAGACATTTTGGCCATCTTGGAGGCAGTATGAAGCCTGTCTTAAAATACTACTCGAGTAAACAAGTCTTCAACTTCTCTGACAATCCGACTGGCCTGAAAGTTTTACACTCACGCGTAGGCAATGCGAATTCTTTTTCAGAATTCACTACATCTCTGAATGGGATGGTGCGGAATTATAGAATTCAACTCATACCCATAGGTGCCTTGAAGGTAAAGCCGACGAGTTGACATCGGACAGGAAAGGATACAGTTGGTATACTAATGGCTAACTTTAAATAGTTTCTCAGAGAACACACCACTATAGTAGGCAACTAGCGCTAGAGTAACCTTTCGTCCTATGAAGCCTTCAAAATTCGCTAGCTTTTCAATAACAGACAGCGCACTTCGGTTCTCTAAATGTTAAATAGAAAAGAAATATCTTTCCCTAAAACAGCTCTTACGGGTCACTTACGGAATACAACAGAAAATCGTAGTAATTGAATGTCTCATGTGAAAACAAGAGCTTTGGCAAAATTTATAGCGTCCATGGAATTCCACAACGGATCTGTATTGACCTATTTGTGGGGAGAATCTAAGCTCATACCATTTGAACTTAAGGCAACCTTAACTTCTTGAGCTACCCACTGACTTATAAACCAACTCCTAACCAGGTTCAAACAAATTTTTGATAAATTCCTGGCCACAAATTTATGATGGCCCAGTTAATCCGCCTGTGTAGTTATGCAAATTGAAAATTTTAATGTTTTCTATTCTACTCATCAATCTCTACTGAACTTAAAAGGTCAGCAGTGTGTTCTAAATTAATTCGTAAGTACCACCCTAATATACATATGCCACCTCAAAGTTAGCGATTACTGAATAACTACTTCGCAACAAACTTGATTTCAAGAACTGGTCAAATTTGATCGGCAAATTGCGAAATGTCAAAGTTAGCCAACACGGATATGAGCTTTTTTGTAAGTCGATTTGGGAAGTAAAATATGTAGTGGTAAATCTAGTCCAGTAAGGTAGTTAGTGTATTTTTTGCCATAATGTTCACCGTACCGCAATGCACCGGTCTTGACTTAGCCGCTAGGTAGGTAGATATCAATGCAGTGGTTCTCCATTAATTTTTTCAAGTTTCCTACTTCCTATATTCTGCCGCGCCGCTGGTGACTGCGTTTATTACTGGCCCCCCTCCAAAGCGCTGCATACCAGCCGCTTATTTAGAAGGTTCAATCAAACATTTTGTAATATGTAAACTATGTACATACGAAGTTAGTTAACCGTTTCTTTCACAAACATTCATAGCTGGTTTTGGTTGAATATTTTTGTTCAGGCTTTTCTGTGTGGCATTAATCAATAAGTATGTAAGTAGCTGGTTTGAAGATTTTTTAAGTTATGCGAGGACGCGCTGTTCAGTCAACCAAATGAATTTTATAAATGTTTTATTTACATACATATTTACTATAAATACGAGTGTTAAGAGGAAAACAAAATTTATGTAAGGTTTTCACTTTACTCGCACCTAATGCATCTTCCATGTTTATGTCATTTTAATATTCAATGTCTTAATTCATCGATTCACGGGTAAATAACTTTGCGGCTACAGGAGTAAATCGATATGCGGAACCATTAATTAATTACTTATTCGATATGAAAGTAAACTTTAAGTGGTTTTTAATTGCAATTCTGCAATTTGGATTTTTGATTGCTTTCGGTGTGTAATCAAGAGCTTGTAAAAATATAAAAAAATATTAGAAGAAAATTCTATCAAAATACATTTCATTAATTTGCCCGCTTTTAAACTTTTTATTTTTTACATACGGCAGTCGGAAGCTAGAATAAAATGAAAACAACTAAAAGAGCTTCCTGGTTCTGTTTATTAAAAAGTTGAAGATATTTACATGCAAATGACGATTTTCGATAACCAAACTGGCGATTTCTCACTTCGGTAACCTGGCAACACTGAGGTACAAGCAGAACTTCCTAAGAATTAATCCATTTAATAAGAGAAGTAATATTATAATACTGATAATTTTTACCCAGAGTATTCCAGTGGGTTTTACTACAATACGGAATCAGTTTTTACTATCTCTTGAGAAACGAATTAGTAAATAGGCATACAGATAATGTTTGTATATGTGCATATGCAGTGTTTTTGCTAGCAGAACTTTTTTTTATAAATATTGTTACTATCCGCCTACAATAACATTAAAACAAAAAAAAAAGGTTCAAATAAAATTAAATCATCGCAAATCTCCGGGAAAGTCACTTTGCCTTCGAAAGTCATATTATTTAATTAAAGCCAATATATTTAGTATCTAAGTAAAAGCTCATATTTTGCTATATAAACAACACAGACCTAGACACGCATTGCAGTTCATTGAGTTCAAATTGTGTTGATAAGTAAAATGGCAATAAAGTTATTTTAATTATCTACATACACACATACATACATTTGTATGTCTGGTATATACTAGAAAGTATTAAAATCACTTCAGCCTTAAGTGAAATTATCAATTTTTTTAAATTATCAATGGGATAGTTATGCAAAACTGTCATCGGTTATTTGCACTAGCAGGGAGCAGAGTATTTGAATATGTATGTATTTACATACATACATATGTATTTATTTCGAAATTTCCAGCGACTTTTTTTCCATGAAAAAATAATAGGAAATACTATAGAAATTATGTTACTATGAGCCGATGACGCGGTCTTTGAAGTAAGTTAGACGTAAGCACCAGTGTTGTCGAAACGTTATAACTAGGGCTGTGCGATTATTCGATTACTCGAGCAAGTTGGTTAATCAATTATTCGGTTAATCAATTACTCGAGTAATCAAGATTTTGATTACTCAAAACGATGATTAATCGAGTTACTTGAAATATGATTACTCAAAAAAATAATTTTGCTCGTTAAAAGAGTTTGCTTTGGAAAATGCTTATTTTCTTTTTTACATTCTGTATATGAAAAAATTTTTTTGTTTTCATTTTTGAAAACAGAAACGTTGTTTTCAAGGTATCAAGGAACTTTAACTACTTTATACATATGTAAAGAGTTGAAATGTTGATTACTCATTTTACTCGAAATGTTGATTAATCATAAAGCAAATTACTCAAATATTTTTGTTTTTGGTTAATCAAAAATCTTGATTACTCGAGTAACTGAACTTTTGAGTAATCATAATTTCCAATTAATCGAATAATTGAGTTATTTACTTTATGATTAATTAAAATTTTGAGTAATCAATTAATCGCACAGCCCTAGTTATAACTAAAAAAACTATTTGAGCTTAAATCAACAAAAATACTTACACAACTTAATATTTCTTCCTAAAAAAATATATATATAATACAATAAGATGAAAATGCAGATGTACTTTTTTTTTGCTTATACAACTTTCAATTAGTTTTAACAACATTGAACAGCTGATGGTTTGATAGTTTACCAGATATTTCTAGGAAAAATTCTTCGTGTAAAAGCGTGCGACATCTGACAAAGAGAGCACCAATTTTATTCTCCCATTTTTCCCCTGCTTTGCCAGGGAACCGAAAACGGGAGCGCTTTCTGGTAAATTATTGCTAGTTAGGGAACGCAATTATTATTTGGCAATACAAACACCGATAAAAGCTTGTCTTAAAAATTTGTTTTTGCATTACGTTTTCTTTTAAAAAAAAATTTAAAATATATTTTTCGGTGCTTCCGACCATGGAAATGGATTCCTTCACGCAAGAACAGCTAAAATATATCTTTGTAAAAAGTTTACCCTCTATTTTTGAAGGTCTTTTTATAAGTCAAGGTAATTTTTGTATCCAACGAAACTAAATTCTACATCTCTCGGTTAAACTTTAAAATGCCCTTACAGTTATTTTTTGGTCTGTTCTTGTTCTTGACATATTTAATTTTGTCACCAAAAAAGGTCATTTTCCACACTGTGCGGCATCTCAAGCTCAATGCACTCATGTCAATTTGCCTCCGTTTTCTTCTTTTTAAAAATAAATCGCTCCTCCCTTATATTATTTCGTCGCTGGGATGGAAATTACCACTTGGTGACTTTGTTGTAAGTACTCAGGCAGCCAAGACTCGAAAGCCAATCAATTGATACATCAGTGTATTCGATCTTTACTATATTAGCCGTCGTCGATTCGCCAACAGTTAGCGAGTGGCGAAACGAACGAAATCAATGAGGTACATCCAAATTCGCTATCGTCTATCAGTGCTACTTAGCTAACTTTGTTGTTGCTTTCACATGCAAAATTCTTCTTTAAGCGACCGGAACTCAAACATAGCGAGCGAGAAGTGGCGAATCGATGACGACTATTATTGCAATATGCTTGCTTATAATAAGTAGGACCAACATTCAACGGTACAATAGTTTCAAAAGTATGATTATCTGCCTGGCGATTAACTATTTTACATCTACATCCATATATGTACATAAATATCTCTTTTAACAAACCTTAATTTTTACTGCAATCGAACATCGTTTATCACATAAATTGCAAATAATTGTTAACTTGCATCCCCCTTACCTTTCAGATGTCAATGAAGTTAAATGTTATGGTGTTTATGGTTGCTTTCCATTGGATGGGCCATGGACTACACCGACGCGGCAGATCAACGTACATCCGCATAAACCTTCACAAATAGAGCCACATTTTACGTTGCATACGAGGCGGAACTTAGATCAGCCGAAATTTATAGATCTCAATGATCCAGAGGCTGTGACACATTTGGGCATAAATCCAGAGGGAAAGATTTTCCTGATCTCACATGGTTATATAGAAAATGGACTTGTAGAGTGGGTGAGTAACGGCAAAAAATAATATTTTTTCGAACGTACAACTTCAGTACAGTAGGATGCCTCACTAAAAAAGTTGCCACTTTCTCATCGTATTTATTTTATTATATCTTAAAACTTGCGCAATAATACATACTCTAGAAAAATATAAAGATTTACTTGAAGTGGGGTGATTTGAAAATACCTCCGAAAATCTCATTATGTTAGTTACGTTGATAAAATTTTTAAATATTTGTATGCAGATCTTATAAGCTTAAACTCTATCATCTGAAGTGATTATTTGGGGGAAAAAGAATTTTTAAGTAATTTTATTTACGCATAAAAAAACTCGATTTTTGTAGGTATTTTCAAATGGGTCCAGCTTAAATAAAGCTTAAAATTTTTCCGAAATATTCTGGCGAAAGTCTTAAAATATACGTAATATATAATTTTATAATTCCAATGGAAAATCACTACCGATTTTATCTGTCTGTATATAGAGTGATGCACGCTAATGTGTTATACTTATACATCTACATATTAACAATTTAAAACTATTCTTGTTTTTAGATGAAAGATATGGCCAAAGCTTTGTTGCACAGCGAGGAGGAGGGTAATGCCGCTGTCATACTAATCGACTGGGGTGGCGGCTCCAACCCACCATACGTGCAGGCGGTCGCAAATATACGGCTAGTCGGCGCCATCGCTGCACATGTCATACATATGATCTACGTAAGTGTACTTAAATAAAATAAAAAATAATAAATGTATGCATACTAAAGTACAAATTTATCTTCACCACAGGAGGAGCTGCACCTGCCGGACTTGCGCAATGTGCACTTCATCGGCCACTCGCTTGGCTCACACCTGGCTGGCTATGCCGGCTATCATTTGCAACGTGATTTTGGTCTTAAACTTGGCCGCATTACTGGCCTGGATCCAGCGGGACCACTTTTTGCCGACACTGAGTCCATTGTGCGACTAGATCGTTCAGATGCAGACTTCGTCGATGCTATACATACGGATGCAAATCCCTTTTTGAAAGGTGGTTTAGGCATTTTCCAACGTGTCGGCCATGTTGATTTCTACCCGAATGGTGGTTCGGAAAATCCCGGCTGTGATGTGCGACTGCAGGATTATATGAAAGGACGCAAGAGTTCGGTGTTCTTGAGCATGCAGGAGTTCTTGAGCTGTAACCATATACGTAGCTATCAGTATTTCACCGAGAGTGTGTTGAGCAAGTGTCCTTTCTTGGGCATCACATGTGAGTCGTATGAGGCGTTCAAGGAGGGGATGTGCGCGCGTTGCAATGAAGATGGACAGCTTTGCATGCGCATGGGCTTCCACACCTACACGGACTACAAAGAGCTGTCAGCAGCTGGTGCGTTAGAAGCGAATAAGCCGCCAGTGTTGTACCTGACAACGGCCGATAAGAGACCCTTCTGTCGTAAGTGAAGTAAATTAAAAAAATATCTCCAAGGTGTTTTTACTAATTTTTTTTCTTAATTTCGTTTTATGTGTTTTTCGCAGGCAATCATTACAAGATTACAGTGCGCGTATCCGGTCACGATGAGAGCACGATGCACGGTGGCGAGATTGGCACCATCTCAGTGCGGCTGCATTCCAAAACGCACGGGAAAAAATCCAACGCCGAACGTATACGTTTCTCCCAGAAGGCTATGTACTTTGAGCCAGGTTTCGAATATAGCGCCATGGTGTCGGGAAGGGATGTAGCCGATCCGGCGCAACACGCCTCGGTTTTCTGGGAATATCAAACAAATTTCCTGAATCCACTCACATGGCGTATCCTCGCTTCGCCGCGTATTTACCTCGATTATGTAATAATTGAGTCGCTGGAGCATCCCGAAATGCAGCTGCAATTGTGTCCGCTGAAAGAGAACCCTGTGATATCTGGCACAGAGAATATCATGCAGGAGAAGTACTGCCAGTGATTCTAGCATACTTGATAGTCTCGATATTTTCACGTAAAAATGCATTTAAGTTACACGAATTGCAACGCCCGGAAAACATAACAAACATGGCAAACGCAAAGGAAAGGAAAGAAGAGAAAAGAAGAAGAAATTTCCCAGTTCGGCTGACTTCCGGTTGTGCATTTGGTCCCAAACCGATTCCACAACTTGGCTTGCGGCGACATCTAGTGCTTCGTTCAGGCGAATATGACGTCGGTTACTTCACACAGATGTCGCCTGATAGTCACACTAGCCACTGCACAAACCATTTGAGAAGAGTTTGAGCTCTTCTCTTCTCAGAGATAAAAATATACTCTTCTCGTTTTCGGAGAAGATTTTGACGTGCCGTTCTCATCCCATCCGAATGTGTAGAGAAGGAATTGCTTGTTAGCGAAGCAATTTATTGATGAGTAGCCTGCGGATTTTTATGCAGAACACGGAGCCTAAAAATATGTACCCCATAACTATGAGCAAAATGTATACAAATTTATTTATTTTGCTTACACTTAAGTGATACATATTGTTAGGCTACGTTTTCTGCATAAAAATCCGCAGTCAATTGTTGAGTGACCATTCCGAAAGGAATTTGGAGTGAAATCATTTGTAGATACATATATACATATATGTACATACTTACATATGTACATAATACATACATGCATCCATACATATGTATGTATAAAAATACATTACCTTGCTACAGTATAACTGCTATTATTTATTGAATAATTTATACGAACTTAATATGTACCTAATTTATTTTTATGTTAATGTATCCTTGTAGTATTCGATAAGATAAAAATGAAATTGCTAATAAAATATTTTAAATTGAAAAATTCCATATTCCATGAAATTCCCTAGGATGCAGTCTAGGATACATATGTATGTAAGTTAGATTGGTTAAGTCCAGAATTAGTTTTGAAACAGAAGCTTCAGACACAATTAAACGATGAGCTTTCTCATTACTTACCGTCTCCTGTTTCAGCACTTTCAAGTAACCCCTTCTCCAGTGTATGTTGTTTTATTGCATACGGTGATTGAAGTACATTTCTCGTCTGAGTACTTTCGAGTACAAGTAGAATCGAGTATTTCCTAGCGATACTTTGAGTAGCATCGAGTTTTCTCTTCGATACGGACGAACACTAAGGACCGGTTGTCAGGGTCATCGAATTGTATAGGCTTGCAAAGAGGTTGGTATCGTGTGCGCCATGTCTACCTGCTGAATATGTGAGAGATTTAGGCTTGAGAGGTAGCTATTGAAGCGGTTGCACCAGCCAACCTCAGTTGAGTCAGAATTCACCGCGTCTCTGGCGTTAATGCCACTTCTCTATGCAGATGGGTCGCGTCATCTTTTCAGAGCATTACGTGCCTTCTCCCGCCTCTGATTGGCGCTTCGTTATGGAGCAAGGCGTTTTGATATGGTTTCCCGCGTTAGTTCCATGCGAGGTTCATTAACAAGCTATACAAGTGTTAGGCATTGTTCCATCTGTTCTTGGTAGATAGTGATGGAGTCTAACATCAGCGCCAGGCGGCGATTTCACTACGGTTACGATATTGAGGGGTTGAGATTTCATAAACAGGAAGGTGGTCACGGTTTCTTGGCAATCGAATGCAAAGGTGATTTAATGTGGGCAATGCTGGATTTCCACTAGGCATTAAATGGCAAATATTGTAATGACAAAGTTTGGCATTAGAAAATACATATTCGTGTCATTTCTTAAAAAAAATATAGTCATTAAAAACATGGCATTTTTTAAATGCCTGCAATTTTTTATCATTTCAATGCCTAGTGGAAATTCGGCATTAGTTTGTAGATATGACATCAAACATGCCTTGAAGTCGGATCGGCTTTAAGTAGGCTACTTTTTGCGCCCTGTGCTGGACGTTGGTCACACCGATTTTCCTTTAAGGAGTTATAACATGGTGGCCTACCTTGGTTAAGGCTTCTTATCTTAATCTACTCGGCAATGTACAGAGGATTAGTATGACCTGCATCAGCGTAACAATCCGGAAAAATGCCAACTAATATTTTAAATGCCTTTTTAAATCTTCTGCCACCAGATCTAGTGGGTCAGCAGATGGCATCTCTTGCTGCACTTCCGTTAAGAGAGACAGGGGAATGCGAATGTGGTTTGCAGGATCACTCCTGTATTTTGGGAAAATAGGATTTCTTCCGGGTTATACAGACCGAGGGAATGGACAGAAAATTACTATACTCCACCCGCGACCGTAGGGAGAAAATCCATACAGTAATTTTCATATATGGTTCGAAAATGGACCTAATCCTGAGCCGTTCTATTCGGCTACCGGACTACTGCGGTGTCTTCCAGGCTGAGGTCTCAGCTGCAATGGAGGCTATAAACGAACTTTGAACTGATTTAAAAGGTGCAGAGGGGTGGGTGCGACCATGCAGGCTCTTCCGGGAAAAGAATGCACTGGTATGCACTTTGCTTTCGTAAGCTGCGATGTATGAATGTAAGCTAATTGCTGAATTTCTAGGAAAACTTGACCTAAGTGCTGCTGTCTTATAGGAAAACATGCAAAACGGCTCAGAGTACCTTATCATAGATGCTGGAGAAGTTGCAAAAACCATGAGGAGGAGCAGACAGTTCTCCATCTACTCTGTAACCTCCTTACTTTACTGACCTTGATAAATTGTGAAATATCCCTGCAGGGAAAGCTACTAGTTGTGAACTAGAATTCTACCGGTTTGCTTTTCAGCCGAACTAGTTCACGTTCTATCCTTTTTCAATGTTAGCGACTGGTATTTTTAACATGGCGATGTCCTACGAGATGTCAATTGTCAGGCTATGCATCAGCATCTACTAGTATAAATACTAGTAGCATCATACCAGTTGATGAGATAGTCTGCCAATTCATGCCCCGTGAAAAACATAAGTGTGCTCATTTGCTCGCGACCCTCCAGCAGTCACAATGGCCGACAGAGCAAAGCACTCGCGTGGTAAGCCTGAGGTCCCAGGTTCAAATCCTGGCGCAGGGAAAATTATTTTATTTTCTATTTTTTATAAATTTATTTTTTTGTTTAGGCTGTTTACTGTAATTTTTAAATTTGATAAAAAAATATTTTTGTTTAATTTCTTTGTTTTTATGGCACAAGCATTTCTTCCTAAATGTTTTTTGCAATGCAATTAGATTTTCAAAGTTGTTATTTATTTATAATAAATTGAATAAATTATTTTTACTTACATTTATTTAACTTTAAAAATCTTAATCACCTCCAAGCGGCCTCGAACCTGCGATTTCAGAACCAGAACCAGTAGTCTTCACGTGACGCCACAGCCGACATTTGTAAGAAAAGCAATTAATTGCGTTTTATTTTTGGCTTTGGCAATTCAAAGGCAGATGTCGCTGATCGCCTAAATTCTTCGAAATTGTCGAACTGGTAGGCACATACTAGTTTATGAACTAGTATTTTTTCTAACTGGTTTGGCTTTTCACTGCAGGGATATAAACCTTGGGTGCTTGACGAGTTTCGTCAAGTATTCGCAACGGTTCAGCAAGGGGGAGTACAAACTCTTAGTCGTGTTATCACAACAGGCCCTCAACTCGTGGTCTATGTGTGTGTCCCCCAATAGCAGTGGCAGCCATACCAATGTATCTACCTACCTACTTCCGTGCTTGTGGACTTCGACAATTAGTTCGATTATTTTGAAGTCTTGATTTAGTTCATGATTTATTCTTTTACTAGTAATATGGTGACGCTTTTTTTCGTCAATGACCCCTTTTTAGCGACTTTCTGAAAATTCTCAACGGCAACACTGCTCATACAGCTTAACGTTGCATCGTTAAGCACGCCGTTATAAATGCGTAAAGGTTCGAAAATCTTCTGTAGAATATTTTTCTCGAACACTCCAAGGGCCGCCTCATGCGATATAATCGGAGCCTGGAAAGAAAAAAATGTCAGATTTTCACAAATTGAAATTAAACCAAAACTTAGTTTAAGTTAAGCTCCTCAAATTTAGAATTCTTAAAGTAAATTCTAATTAGCTTCCTTTAAACTACATTTTCTTTTTCTCGTATACGCTAAGTAGTTGCTGCGCGATTTTGAAAAATACTTTGGAAAATGTAAACATATCCAAGTGTCACTTGTCCACATTCGCATGCCATTTCAGAAATTCTTAATTGACAACAGGTTCTCTAATTCGGCTTTGTGGTATTGACTATGCCGCCCGTCATCAAACACGCGACACCCAATAAGAACCACTTTTTTCAATTTTTTTTTTTTTTTGACAACGAACTAAGAAAACAGCTGAATGACGTTGACAGGCAAATAAATAAAAACATAAAATATGAGTTTGTAATGGAGATACATCGCGAATGAATATAAAATAGAGTATGCACACACAAATACATATATCAAAGTGAAGTGTAGTTGAAGGCAGAAGAAAAAGAAGGAGAAGGAGAAGCAGTGCAGGGAGCATTGCCTGCAGACTCACAAATGCAATGTGAGACGCGAAAGAACTGAAATTAAATACAGAAGCTCCCAGGGGCAAACAGCCGCAGTGATGGCAGTACATACAGCAACTACTCAACTGGTAAAGAGCTCCAAGTACGTACATATGTATGTATGTATATCCACTTTTGGGGTACTTCAGTGCCCATTGCATGCGTTTTATGTATGCATTTGATGTGTTGGCAACTAATTGAAGACATGCAACGGACAAAAAAAAAGCACACACATTCATACAAATGTATAGAGTATCTCCGCTTCTACGCCCCAAATGCATTTTGCGAGTATTTTTCGAAAACTTTTAATGGCACCGAAATTGATATCCATAAATTAGGCAACCACGATGCTGCGACAATTTTCTCAAAAGTGGCATGTATGCACATATGTATATTAGGGTGGTAGAAAATTAAAGCCGGAACTTTAATACACTTGCACCATAGGATTTTTATACACAGAAAAAATGTTCATACCTCTATTTATTTTATTTTAAAACCAAAAAATATTTAGAAGTCGCTCAAAGCGCTCAAAATTTTCCATGTATTTTATATGAAAAAAACTGTTTTTCGTAGAAATAAGAATTCTATTCAGGAGACTTTCAATAATAGTACCAATTTTAACCATTCTTAATAGTTATTAGCTATTTTTTATAGTTCCCCCAAAACCCACAAAAATGCATAGGGTGGAGAGTCATAAAAATTGTCAATATTAAAAAATGGTAACATACATAATTGGGTATTATTTTTGGAGGTCTCCTGAAGAGAAATAGAGGTTTCGAAAAATATAGTTTTTCAAGAATTCTATATCATTCCAACGAAAAATTGGTATTCCTTTCCCATATAAAATACATGGAAAACCTCTTAATATTTTTTGATTTCAAAATAAAAAACAGCGGTATATTTTTTCGATATAGAGCAATCCTAGGGGTGAGAGCATTAAAATTCGGACACTACTACCCCCCCCCCCCCCCCCCCCCCCCC